GGCTGATGCAATTGAAGGTGTAGGTGAAAATTGTAGTGAGCCAAAAGAGGCAGCACTACAATGGAAAACATTTAAAAGGAACAAAAAAAATACCTCAAAAAGTGAAAATTTGTGGGTGCTTAGTAGCGGGGCTTCCATGGATGAAGATGAGGAATACATAGCTAAGGCACTCCATAACGGGAAAATTGTAACGGCAGAAAAAGGCGGTTCTTCTGCATCAAAGGTTACACATACATCGAACAGTGAACAGTTAGAAATTGATACAAATGGTAGAGATAGGGGAAATACGAAAGTAGGTGAGGAAGATGGAAAAAAGAAGATAGGCAATGAAGAAACAGGAAAGGAATCTTTACGTTACCCAGCGAACCATGATGGAAAACCATGGGTACTTTTTGATACCTCGCGTTCTGAAATAATTCAGAAGAAGGGGATACGAAATGGCTTGTATTTATGGGCCAAAATAAAAGGCTGCAATATTGAAGGTATTGACACTATTAGGGCAATCGGGGTGACGTTATACAAAGTTTTATTTGAAAATGTTTTTTATGCAAATAGGTGCTTGAATAATGAAAAACTAAAAAGTGCAAATATCAGAACCTTCATACCGAGGTCTTTTCTAGAAACGTATGGGGTAATAAGAAATATTCCGGTAGAATACTCCGATGCAGAAATTAGAAGTGGCTTAAAGTCGGTGGTAGACGTTACCTCCATTCAAAGATTCACTAGAAGGGAGAACAATGAATGTGAAAATAGAGTTCCAACTCTATCTGTGAAAATTGGTTTTGCTGGGGATCAGCTGCCAAAAGAGGTCATCTTAGACCACACGATCTTAGAAGTAACACAATTTTTTCCGATGTTAAGGCAGTGCTACAAATGCGGCAGAATAGGGCACACTCAGAAAACATGTAGGTCGGAGAAGAGATGTCTCAAATGCGGAAATAAAGGTGGTTGTGTTACCAACTGTGGTATACCTATGTGTGTTTTATGCGGGGATGCAAAGCATAACGCTTTCGACAGGGTGAACTGCCCAACCTGGGAAAAGGAAAACAACATAATCAAAATTATGACCCTGAAGAAACAGACAAGAAGAGAGGTACTCACTGAGTATAAAGCTTCCACTGGAAACAGATTTGAACTGTTAAGTGATGACCATTTTCCGGGACTAGACAATGAACTGAACCCGTTCAGAGATAACCAATGCGAGGTAAATAGAATTATGACGCCAAATACTTATGCGTCCCAGGTTAAAAAAAATAGTCAAAAGCCGTATAGGCGAAATATACCACAAGAAAGACCGGTACGGCAAAAAGCGACTCAGCAAAATCAGCAGAAGAATGGAGTGGCCTTTAGCCAACCAAACTTACATGCAGTGTCAGAGTTGGAAAAAATAACCACTGAAATGTCCAAATTTGCGAGGGATGCTTTCAGACAAATCAACTTTCCTGCGGGTGTAAATGCCTTTGTCCATTTCAGGGAAAGATTAAAGCAACAATTTTCGAATTTTGAACTTAAAAATGTAGCGGAAAGGGGGGAAGTAGAAAATAGTCAGCATGAAGATTCTTCAATATAACATCCAGTCTTTGAAAAAAAATGCGAACTGTATTGACCACTTTATAAACACTAAAGATTTTGAAATCGTGTGTCTCAGTGAGGTTTTCTCACATGACGACACAGGAAATGCTAAAAAAATATCAAATTTTAATATTGTAGAGAAAAAACGGCCTGATGGGTATGGTGGGGTCGCAATCGCGCTCCGGAAATCTATCAGATATAAAATTTTCAATTTTTCATCTAATCATGACATCTGTATAGTACAAACGAGAAACTTAACCAAAAATATAATAATTTGCTCCCTGTATTTTGAACCGTCTATGGACATCAACACTTTCAGACATGTATTAACCAACCTTTTTAACACTCTAGAAGCCTATGAAAATGTGATAGTGATGGGCGATTTTAATGCGCGGGCTACAAGATGGGGAGACGCAGTTGATACACCTAGGGGAAAATGGTTAAGCTCCTTTGTTGATACATCGACTCTTCGATGCCTCAATAGTGGGGCCACCACTTTCAAACCAAATCTACGAACCAATAATGGTTCGGTTTTAGACCTAACCTTTACGAATATACCGTCAACAGTAAATTGTGAAGTGATATCATGCCACCTTGGTGGTAGCCATCAACTACCCAATCTCCTTAAACTGCAATTTTACTAAAACAAAGGTTTGTACCTTTATGTCAAAAAACAAACTTATGTTCTCCCTAAATAAAATTGAATTTGAACCTTCGTCGGACAAGGCAACTAGGGCTATCTCAGATGAAATAAACAAAGCAACCATCACGCTTGACAATAGAACACCAAAATCATGGTGGCATAGCGATCTTAATAAACATTACAGATTATACTCAGCAGCAACCAAAAAATGCAACACGTATCCAACACCCGAAAACTTTGACCGAGCGATTGAATTGAAAAAAATATGGAAAAGCGAGGTTAGGAAGGCTAAAAGGCAAAATTTCTCTGACAGTGTCGAGCGGCTAAACAATCAACCCAACAGCAAGGAAGCATGGAGATTCATCAAGAACTTAAGGGGTACATCAGGCAACGGATCCAACCCCCGGTGGTCAGAAGACAATAACAATCTTTTCCTTCAGCACCTGAAAAATCAGGTAAGCATCAAAAATACTGAGATCTGCATCCCGTGGAACCATTGCGAAGTAAACACCACAACCCCCCTTTTTAATCTGGACGAACTCAACCTCATCTTAAAAAACAAAATGAAAAAATCTGCAGGTGGGCATGACAAAATTACCTATGAAATGATTAGGGCACTATCATTACATGCCAAACAAAATCTTCTCAAGGCACTAAATGACTCCTTCCAACGTGGTCATATTGAGGATCAAAGGCGAATCATTAAAGTGATCCCCATTCCAAAACCTGACAAAGACCCAAATGACAACAAAAATTACAGACCTATATCCTTGATACCTGTACTTCTCAAAATTGTCAATTTAATGGTCAAATCCAGAATTGAACCATGCTTAGCTGAAAATAATTTCCTTTCAAACAGATGCTTCGCATACCGAAAAGGCAGATCTGCGTCGATGTGTCTAAACGAAATCCTACACAATATAGCTTGCTATAAAGATCTAGGTTTGAAAGTGGTGGCCACAGTAGTGGATATAAGTAACGCCTATAACTGTGTCCCCACCTCAGCTCCCTCAAAGAGATTAATAAAGGCGAAGGTGGACAATAAATATATTAGCTGGATAGTCTCCTTTCTGGAGAAAAGAATCCTGAAAATGGGAGGTGAATCAGTCACCATAAATGATGGTCTACCGCAAGGCAGCTGTCTCTCCCTACTCCTTTTCAATTTATATACTAGTCCGTTGCACAACGTAGAAGATGAATCCACTGACATTTTCCAATTTGCAGACGACTTCCTTATAATGACCCATGACAGAGATTTTCAATCTGCAACCTCAAAACTTGGAGCAACACTCAAGTCCTTTGTAGACAAATGTGAAAGTTTAAACCTCTCCATAAATCTACAAAAGACCAAGTCAATATATTTTGCGAAGGGTATTAAAAAACGGATTGATATAAAAATTAATAATCACTGTATTGAACAAGTAAATCGTTTGAATTTCATTGGTAGGACCTTAACGGACTCTCTGAATGTAACGTCTCACTATAAAACACTCATTGACAAGGCAGCAAATAATGTGAAATTACTTAAAATGTTATCAACAGTAAAAGCTGGGGTTAGGCCAAAAACAGCGGTAAACCTTTACAAGAGTCTTGTACGTTCTAAGATTGAAGTAGCTAAATCGACCACACATAATCTGCCAAAAGGCACCTACAACAAAATTATGGCATTTCAGAATAGTACACTAAGGAGATGTTTAGGGCTAACCCCTTCCACACCGACACATAATATTTATGTGCTGGCAAATGAGTTGGAGCCAAAATAGAGAGAAAAACTATTAACCTGTCGCGAATTATTAAAATTAAAATCCATAAATATCACTTTATACAACAACATTAAAAATCACTCACAGCTAAAATCTAGTTATTCCGCAACGTATCATGAATTCAAACAGATTTTGGACAAGGTAAATGCTGAAACCCACTACCAAAAAAATAAAAATCTAAAAATTATAGAGAAAGTCATAACTGGAAGGAAAGTGGATATACCCAAAGAACAGTTGGTGGCTGAATACCGGAGAATTACACACAAATACAAAAAAAGTGGCTTTACAATTTGTGCCTCTGATGCATCGGGGGGACAAAGTGCCATGGGGTGTGGAGTGTACAACGCAACACACAAACATAAATTCCTTTTCAACATTAATGTCAAAACCTCATCTTTCTTCAGTGAGCTTTGGCCTATAGCAAAAGCTATTGACATAGCTGTGGAGGACAAGCTGAGGAAGGTTGCAATCTTCACTGATAGCTTAATATCGTGTCAACTTCTTGGGAAAAAAGAGTCAAACAACTACATAGTAGCCAGGATTCATTCCACCCTTAACAAAAGTAATCTAATCTGTGATATTGTGTGGGTACCATCACACGTAGGAATAGAGATAAATGAGGTAGCTGATAACTTAGCGAAATGGGCGGTAGATGCTGGGGCTCCTCTTGAGGTTCATCTCTCTTCTAATGAGGCCCTCAAATAAATAAACTCCTTGCTAAGGGAAAAATGGAACACAAAATTTAAAAGTATATCCCAAGAAAAAGGAAAGAAATTCGCGCACTTCTTTCCAGAGATACCTGAACGACCATGGTACCATGGCTCATCACTTGGAGCAAGAGAAATTAAAAACAAATAGACTTTTAACTGGACACACCTTCGACAAGGTATACCTACATAGAATCAATGTAATTAACTCAGATATTTGTGATGAATGTCAAGTATTAGACGACCACAACCACGCGATCTTTGCTTGCAGGAGATACAACTCCATAAGAGGTAGATATGATGCGGTAAAAAATCATAAGGACTTTGGCGAGTTTTACAGAAGTCATGACACTGCAACTCTAAAAGAGTTGTGCAATTTTATTAACGAAGCACAGATAGAAATATAGATGTAAGAGTGTTTTAAAAAAATAAGATAATAACCAAAAAAGAGAAAAAAGACTGATTATTTTCACAAATGTAACTTAAGCTTTATAGTTAAGCTAATTAAATAATCCACAGATAAGTTTTTATCATTCTAGCTAACCACAGAGGAGGCCAACCGCTGAATTTGCTTCCTTTTTTTGTTTTTTGTTAATTTTTTGTTATATGTTTTGGCTCATTGCACAAACTGGAATTGGCAAACACTGTGCCACTTTCGCATAGTACACGCTCTTGCACCTTGCAAAATCAAGAACCACAATTCCACACGAAAGCAATTTCTATGGATACTGTCTGCTGAGGCGCCCGCTACATCGTTATATTTGATACCACTTGCACCGGAGGAAAACAATATCACAAAAATGCTTAACTCATAAGCACTCGCTATAGCATCAAAAAAGGAAACGACCTGCACCTGAGGAAAACAATACCACTAAACGTGGTATAACCGGTCTACCATCTTAGTCCTGTCTTTGGAAACATCTACGATAGGTGCACTCTGAGTACACATGCCCTAAATGATACATATACATATGGGCTTTCGT